GGTGGCGACGACGACGCTGACCCTCGGAGCCTTTCTTGGGGCTCTCTTGGTAGCCTCTTGGGCTCTGTGGGGGCCTCGTGGGGGACTCCTTGGGAAGCTCTGTAGTCACCTGGAGCCGCCTCGAAACGAATCTGAAGCCTCTTGGAGGCATGTGGGAAATGCGCAGCACCCCGCAACAACAGGAGGGTGCCTCCCGGGGGGGGGGGGAGGACGGGAGGGAGGAGGAGGAGGAGGAGGAGGAGGAGGAGGAGGAGGAGGGAGGAGGAGGAGGAGGAGGAGGAGGGGGTCCACATGCAGGGAGAGTCGGGATGAGGGGTGAGTTCTCCTTGCCCACAGGAAGGCGCGCCCCTGTCCCCGTTGTCCACATGTGGGACCCTCCCGGGTGAGGTCTCGACCCCTGGGAGCCCCCTCGGGGAGGAGGAGAGGGAGGAGGCCGAGGAGGAGGAGGAGGAGGAGGGAGGAGGAGGAGGAGAGGAGGAGGAGGAGGAGGAGGAGGGAGGAGGAGGAGGAGGAGGAGGAGGAGGAGGAGGAGGAGGAGGAGGAGGAGGAGGAGGAGGAGAGGAGAGGAGGAGGAAGGAGGAGGAGGAGGAGGAGGAGGAGGAGGAGGAGGAGGAGGAGGAGGAGGAGGAGGAGGAGGAGGACGAGGAGGGAAGGAGGAGGACGAGGAGGAGGAGGAGGAGGAGGAGGAGGAGGAGGAGGAGGAGGAGCAGGAGCAGGGGACCCCCCCGGGACCCCGGCCGCGGGACCCCTCCTGGGACCTCCCAGACCCCCCGGGCGACCCCCCCCGGGCGACCCCTCCCGCTGAGAACCCGCCATCCCCGGGTAGGGAAGGGATCAGCGGGAAGGGGCTTCCCTCCGAATCAACTACGGTGATATTCCTTCGAATCATCCAGAGACCCCCCGCGTCCTGAAAAAAACTCAACGGAGGTTTTTCGCTGTTCTCTTTCTCAGGGGACCATTGCAGGGCCCCAGGACCGTCAAAAAACGACTCAGGATGAAAAGCTGGACCCGGGGAATGGGTCGAGGTCTCTGAGGGTCGAAGTCATGAAACAATCATGACGTCGGGGGTCTGGCTGGATTGCTGGAGGAGGAGGGCCCAAGGAAAGCCAGAGAGCGGCGACTGCCACGACGACTCAAACGGACGGAAAAGCGTCCCACCCATGCCGACAGGCTCGGCGGGTCTAATTGTCGCGTGCAGCTGCGCATGGGGAGGAGGAGGAGGAGGATGAGGAGGCGGAGGCGGAGGCGGAGGTGGAGGAGGAGGAAGAGGAGGAGGTGGAGGTGGAGGAGGAGGAGGAGGAGAAGGAGGAGGAGGAGGAGGAAGAGGAGGAGGAGGAGGCGGAGGAGGAGGCGGAGGTGGAGGAGGCGGAAGAGGAGGAGGAGGAGGAGGAGGAGGAGGAGGAGGAGGAGGAGGTGGTGGTGGAGGCGGAGGCGGAGGCGGCGGAGGAGGAGGAGGATGAGGAGGAGGAGGAACAAACAAAAAACAGGAGCAGGAGCCGCAGCAGGAGGAGGCGAGGGGGGCTGCCAGGCGTGGCCTGGGACAGCCTGGACACGCTGGTCATCGACATGCCGCCCGGCACAGGACCGCGCCGGCACCGGGCGGCCTGGTGCCGCCGAGGTGGCCTGGAGTTCGACGCTCTGCCACGATCGGGGGAGCGTAAGACCCGGGTTTGCCAGGACTCGGGTTCGCCATCGTTTTTTGACGACCGCGCCTCGGAGTTTGACGAGGAGGAGTGTCGTGGGAGGTCGGCAGCGGGAGGCCTCGTCAAAACGCAGGCTCGGCCTCGTCATTTTTTGACGACCTCGTCGGGGATTTCCGAGTCCCCTGTACCCAGGTCTTACGTCCCCCTGACACGAGGGCGAGGGTCGGGAGGAGCAGGAGATCTCCGAGGAGGAAGAGGCACCTCAGGGATTGCGAGCTGTAGTCCTGGGCTCCCGTGCGACGCCGCGCCGCTGGACCCCCCAGAAGTCCTCGAAAGTGGCGGGGGTGACGTAGTTCGTGGGCCGCCCAGGGATGGCGGGGTCGAATCTGGGTCCCCGAAGGTCGTCGCTCTGCTGGCCGCCCCGGCAGCCCTCGAGCGCAGCGGTCGTCTTGCAGATCGCAGCCCTCCCGGGAAGGCTAGACAGGAGGCACAAAACATAGGTAGGAGACAATCAGGAGGTAGGTGGCAGGAGAAGTGAGCAGGAGAGAGGCTGGAGGCGGGAGGGAGGACGGAGTGGAGACCGCGACACTTTTCGAATCTGGAAAACACGCAATCCCTCTTCCTCTTCCGTAGCCATTCTGATCGAGTGTTTGGCAGGTTCCATATTCGCCTGTTCTGAGCAGGCACTGCACAGTCAGGGAGTGAAAGGACTAGCGAATCCGACAATGGGTATACTAGATGTCGGTGAGACGGGCGTCGCCGTGGGCAGCTGGATGGTCTGCTCCATCGGAATGATGCTCTTCAACAAGTTTGCTGTCAAGGCCTTCCCTGTCGAGTGCACGCTGGTGGCGCTGCAGATGTTGGCGTCCGTGCTGGCGATGGCGCTGTTCTGCTTCAGGTCTATCAAGATCGGGTCGGCCTGGGACGTGCTGCGCTGGACCATGGTGGCGCCCTTCTTCACTGGCATGCTCTTGTCCTCCATCTTGGCCCTCAAGTTCGCCCCAATGAGCCTCGTGGTCGTCTTCCGAACCCTCTCTCCTATGCTGTCATTGCTCATCGAGCGCATGTATCCGGACCCGCTCCGCATCACCGCGCCCATGCTGGCCAGCATCTTCACCATGGTTGTTGGTGCATCCGAAGAGGAGGAGGAAGAGGAGGAGGAGGAGGAGGAGGAGGAGGAGGAGGCGGAGGAGGAGGAGGAGGAGGAGGAGAAGGAGGAGGAGGGGTGAGCGGTAGGCATACGAGGAGGAGGAGGAGGAGGAGGAGGAGGAGGAGGAGAAAGAGGGAGGAGGAGGAGGAGGAGGAGGAGGAGGACAAACGGAGGAGGAGGAGGAGGAGGAGGAGGCGGAGGAGGAGGAGGAGGAGGAGCGGTAGGCATACGAGGAGGAGGATGAGGAGGAGAAGGAGGAGGAGGAGGTTGTTGTTCTGGATCGCGTGAACGCAGTGACTAAAACGACTCGCTCCCGTCGGAATCGGGGTTTGAATCGATATCCGACCCCCCTCGACGGGACGTCTCCCCGAGCGCCTGCACCCTCTCCAAGTCCGAGGAAAAGAGTCCGAAAGCCTCCAGGACCACACGCTCGGACGCAAAACCAGGGGCCCCGTGGGCCTCTTGGAGAGGGCAGGTCGCAGAACCAGGGGACGCTTCGAACAAATTCGCCTGACGCGCAAACCCAGCCCCTCGTCCAAACTCAACGGTTCTGGGAGGGCGAGTCGCAGGTCCTTGGCCGTCCTCTGCTAATTCGTCCTAACTGCGACTTAACGCCAGGGTTGGCTGGGACTCCCTTGCATCTACTCCTGAGCACAAAGCCAGGGCGGAACCCCGAGCAATGAGCCCCGCACCGGAAGCAGAACGTGAGCCATTGGCCCCCTGTGCGAGGGGGAATTTCGCAAGCGCACGTGCGCAAAGGGGTGGCCCCAGGCGCAACACGCCGAGTGGGGCACCTCGGGCCAGAACGAAACTCCGACACGCCCAACTCCCCACCCAACTCCGACACGCCCAACTCCCCCCTAACTCCGACACGCCCAACTCCCCCCCAACTCCCCCCCCCCCAACTCCGACGCGTCCCGCCCCCACCCAGCTCCGACACGCCCAAACTCCCCCCCACACCATCTCTCCGCCTTCCCCGGGCGGCCCGTCCTCGGGCGGCGGCTCCTGGGCTCCTGAGCCTGCTCGGCCTCGGGCTGGCACCCGGCCCTCGCGGCCCAGGCTTCGGCCGAGCCTGCCCTAGTGGCCGCCGTCGCCTGGCCGAGCTGAGCCTCGAGGGAGCCTGCCCGGCGTCCAGCCTCCAGGGCCGGACACCGAAACCCCGCAGCTCAATCGGCGTGCTTCTGTTCTCCACGCATCTCAGCGCCTGCCTTGGCACACATGTCAGCACTCGCATGGGCCCGTTTTTCCCACCACGTGGTGAGTCCTCGATCAACGTCCAACGCCGACGCGTGAGCCAACGTCTTGTGGGCTTCATAGTCGCTCCCGTCAAAGCTGCTTCAGAATGGGGGCCACGGGCGCCCACGGGGAGCCCCCGCGGAGGTCCCAGAGCCAGGTCCCTTGTGGAGCACTCTGAGGATGGACTTGCAGTCCAAAAGCAGCTCGAAAGGTGGCATGCCTATCTTTGTAAGCACGTGCGCTGCAAAATCGTCGCCATCCTTGGAGGTCTGCCGAGGCCCCAGTGCCAGCGGGACTGGCCCGCAGGCTGCTGACACCAGTTGCCCTAGAAGATCCACCTACACGAGCGCCCGGCCTGCACGCGCCACTCCATGAAGGTGCGCATGCATCGCCGAGCCATCTGAAAAGATGCATACAGTGAGCAGTCCTTCCGCTGGCCTATCGATCCAGCGCACAAGGGGGTCTGGCTCCGATGCAGGCACAAAGACCAGAAGTGAGGGAAAAAACTCCACGCGCGAACCTCTCCCCCACCTCCAGCCCAGCCTCCAACGCCCTCCCCGCCCTTTCCCCCAGCCCGAGACTCCATCCCTGCGCAGGGTGGCATGAGCTGGGCAGTCGTACTGACGGTGCCGCAGGGTGCCTGGCGCCCCGTGGCAGAGGCGGCAGAGCGGGGAGGGGTGGAGACCGTGACCGTGTACTCTGGCTTGCGGCCAGTGGGCATCGCACACTAAACTCCTGAAGGATCTCTGGTGCTGGGCCGTCCACGCAGCCGGCCTCCCTCGAAGCAGCCCAGAAACCCCTTGCCAAAAAACTTGGAAACGATGGGGCACTCGGGCCCTCAAGTCCCTGGGTCCCATGGAGGTCCAGGGCCATGCGATCTGAAGCCCTCGCTGCAGCTTCGCGCGCTAAGGCTCCAGCTCCCATCGGAGCAAGCTGCAGCAAGCTCCAAGTCACCCCCAGGTCACTGACAATCTGCGAGCTGCCGAGGAAAAACCAGCCGGTGCGAGCGAGAGACAGGTAGGCCACTAGAAGGAGGAGGCCGAGGAGGAGGGGGGAGCGGTATGCATACGAGGAGGAGGAGGCGGAGGAGGAGGCGGAGGAGGAGGAGGAGGAGGAGGAGGAGGAGGAGGAGGAGAGACGAGCACGAGCAAAAATCGGAGTAGGTGGATGGAGACAGAGTCGGAGGAGCTGAAATAGGATGGCAGGGCGGGAGGAGGTGGAGGCGGAGGCGGAGGCGGAGGCGGAGGCGGAAGGAGGAGGAGGAGGAGGAGGAGGAGGAGGAGGAGGAGGAGGAGGAGGAGGAGGAGGAGGAGGAGGAGGAGGAGGAGGGAGGGAGGATGCGGCGGAGGATCAGGAGGAGGAGGAGGAGCAGCTTTCCAGTCCTCCCCCGTCGATGTGCTCCGACGAGGCATCCGAGGCGAGTCCATCCGTGGCGACGAGGGGCCCAAACAGGCGAAAGCGAGGAGATGGTATCGGCCTCGGCACGCTTTTCCCCACCGAGGTCTTGCACCCTGACCTTCCAGAGAGCTATGTTTTAGCACTGGATACCTAAAAACCTAACAAGCTGAGCGAAACAGCCTAAAACCAAGACGTAGAATAGCTCTGGGATAGGTTTCTATTTTTTAGCTCTCCTGGAAGGTCAGGGGAGCAGGGTGAGCAGCCGAAGAGAGGTGGGCCCCGAGCGCGCCGCCGGCCTCTGCCCGCGGGCGGACGGCGGGCAGCAGCAGCGCGCGGCAGACGACGGAGATGCCACCGCGCTCGAAGGTCGGGCAGAGCGCTCCCCGCAGGAGCTCTCCACCGACGGGCTGGGGAGCTACGCGGTGCCGACCCCCCCGCGAGGGGGCGCACGCACGCGGCTCCCTCCTATGGGAGCTCTCGGAAGTGCTTTTGCCCCCCCCCCCCCCCCCCCGAAGGAGGCGTCCTCGCGCTGGTGGAGCTGGCCCTCCGCCCAGAGCAGCCCCAGGACGTTTCGTGCCCCTTTGGGGCTCCAGAGGGCCCCTCTGGGGCTCTAGGGCCCCTCAAGTGCACAGAAGGTGCCCCTTCTTCACCCCCCACCGATCGCCCCCCCCACTGCGCCACGCAACTTCTTGGGGGCCTGTCTTGGGCCCACGGATGGCGTTTCATCGTTTCACAGCCGCGCCCCTGGCAGGTTCGACCTCCGGGGGCCCCCCTGGAGGAAGAACCGGCGGGCAGAAGTCCCGGGACAGGCTGGGCACGCCGAGCAGGCCACTCCACGGAGCACACACATTGCGAGAGCCCAGCGCACCAGGCCGAGCAGGGCCAGGGAGGCCCGCCACCGCCATGGCGGCCTCGGACTCCGCGAGCCTCTCCGGGCCGGCCGCCATACGACCCTGCGGCCGCTGCGTCGTGAACCGCGCGGGCTCTTCTGGCCCCAGCGGCGGCCGAGGCTGGGCCAGCGGAGGTGGGGCAGCGCGGACTGGCCGCGCGACACGCGGCATCCTGTGGTAGAGCTCTCTCGTTCAAGTTGGTGTCTGGCCATGTGGGATAACATGCCAAGCTCATGCGCGGAGCAACCGCGCTTGTGTGGGCCCCATACCCCCCCCCCGGACTCCCCAGGCGGCCGAGATTGGGGCCTTTGGGGGGCTTCGCTTGTCCTTGGAAGCTGAAGCCTTTTGCTTCAGTGACTGCAGGGATATTGTTGACCTTTTCTCTCAGGGTCCTGGTAGGTTCCCTTTCCCCAAGCTCCAGTACGCAGGGCTGCTGATCCATGGAGTCTCGGGGGCCGGTCCTCAATTGCGCAGTGTTGAGAAGGTGGATGCTTACACGTATTCAGACGAGCAGTGGGTCATTCCGCGTGATGTGAAAGGTTCATCAGGCGTGGCAACTATTCTGCAAATGTTGGAGCCAAGCGAGTAAGCTGGCATTCCGAATTTACGGCCGGCGAGATGGCCAGTTTTGACCTCAAGGTCAAGACTGCGAGGTGTATTATGGGCCTCGCAGCTGCAGTCCCCCCTCTTTTCCATCGGATGAAGTTTCGGGGCTTGGAGCGGGTTCCTACTCCTCCTGCAGTGCAGCGTAACTAATATCAGTGGGAATTCGTGTCAGGTTTTTGGCCTTGCCGAGTTTGCCTCTAAGGACGCACGAGTTCCTCTTGTCCAGCCGAGGGCTCGTGTAAGGGGCACTCCCAGTTGGATAGCTAGTGTTGTTTGAGGTCGGCTCCAGCACCGCGTGATTGTCCTCGAAAGCAGCGGTCACGCTCACGTGATCTTTTTTTTGAGATGTCGGCGTGACTCTTCGGGGGCCCAGGTGTGAATTCTGGGTGAATTATGCAGGGCACCGACGGTCACTGGCAACAAGACTGGAACAAGATCAGGCAAAAGGAGGCTTCCTGAAAAAGCTGATGATGATGATGATGATGATGATGATGGTGGTGATGGTGGTGATGGTGATGGTGATGGTGATGGTGATGGTGATGATGATGATGATGATGATGATGATGATGATGATGATGACGATGATGATGATGATGATGATGATGATGATGATGATGATGATGATGATGATGATGATGATGATGATGATGATGATGATTATTATGATTATGCTGACGAGGAAGAGGAGGAGGAGGAGGAGGAGGAGGAGGAGGAGGAGGAGGAGGAGGAGGAGGAGGATCAGGAGCCCAGACATGCGACGTCTTGATTTTTCAATGCGCGGGCTCAGGAATGCCAGACTCTTTCCCCACAGGTCAGCCTGGGCTGTTTTTTTTGACGGTCCAGAGGGGCCTGGCGAGGGCCCCCAGAGGCCGAAAACAGCCAAACGTTGCCCTCCGCTGTCTTCTCACGGCGCGAGCACGTCTGGGAGGAGGAGGAATATACCGGGGTTCAAGTGCAACCGTTTCGCGCTGACGTTTTCCCGTCTCTTGGACATGTTCGCTGCGTTTGTTTACCTCTTCTTTCGGGGTGTGGCTTGTCGCTGGCCCACTGTGGGATGTCGCCCCCCACAGTGGTGACAAAAAACAACGAAAAAACAAACAAGTAAAACATGGGAGGAATAGGAGGAGGAGGCGGGAAGGTCTTCGGCGCTGGGCTCTACACCAGCGCGATGAGCAGGTCTGGCCTGGGTGGCATCGGCTGGGTCTTCCTCAACATCTTCTTCGCCGTCGGCGACCGGCTGCTGCAGCGGCTGATGCTCGCGAAGGACCAGAACCCGGTCGACATCTCCAAAACGGGCATCACGCTTCTCAACAACCTGGAGGGTACTCGAGGGACACAGATCCAGACATGTTCGCGTCGTGAAACACGCATGCACTGCGCGAGGTTTCTCGCCGTTTCCGGCTCTCGCCAGGCTCCAGGACCGTCCAAAAATCGTTCGGGATGAGGAGCCGTCCCTGGGGAGATGGTCGTGACTTCCATGGACCGCGTCTTGAAAACCATGGCGTCGCATGTCTGGGAGCGGCGCGCAAACTCTCGCAGGCCCGCGCGGATTGCCTGGGTCGGCGCAGGGTCAGGCCAGCCACAATCGGGGGAGCTGTGGTCCTTACCCCCCTGGGGGGACCCATCGATTTCGACGCCCCTCTCGAGAGAGATCGTCGACGCGATGGGTTCCCCCAGGGGGGTAAGGACCACAGCTCCCCCGGTTATGGCTGGTCGCGGGGTGGCCTTTCCCCGCCGCCCCGCGCTCCGCGCGCGCGGCAGTGCGGCGTGGGCGCGTGCGGCCCCCCGACCCCGAGAGATCCGCGCGGGCCTCCGACGGTTGCCTGCAGCCTCCCGGCAATCCTCACAGGTCTGCTGCCCCTCGTGGTCGTGATGGCGATCAAGCACGAGTTCTCCGAGATCCCGGAGGCCGTGCAGAGCCTCTCGGCCATGGGCTACGTCTGGGTCGGCCTCAGCTGCCTGGTGGGCATCGGCATCAGCTACACCGGCATCTGGGCCCAGAGCCTGATCAGCGCCACCAGCTTCCTGGTCCTCGTGAACGCCAACAAGTTTGTGATCATCTTCGTCGAGGCCTTCTGCCTGAAGACGAAGTCTCTCACCGCGATCCAGGTGGTGGGCGCCTGCGTCACGATCCTCGGAGGCGTGCTGTACGGCAAGGCCCGCGAAGCGATCGAGGCTGGACGGTGCCCGCATTCCACTTGCACCGATCCTGTCCCCAGACCCCCGACGTCATCATTGCCCCAGATGTTTTCGCAACGTGGACCCCCATAGGTCTGGACCCCTCCCTGGGAAATGTCTTCTCCCCGGGCGTGCTCTGCTGACGGTCCCAGGGCCCTTTGAGGGCCCCGAGGGGCCGACAGTCCCCCACAAGTGCCCTCTCTGCGATCTTGCTCACCGGGGGGCTGGGCCGGCCAGGTCCGGGGCGGGGTCGGGTCGCTGGCGCGCCGCCCTCGCGAGGCGGAGGCGAAGGCGACGGGGGAGACCGAGCGGCTCGTGGGGCAGCCGGGGGCCAAGGTGTGAGGCCTGCGCTGCACGTTTGTGGCGGCCGCCGCGGCCCCGCCGCGTCGGAGCGGGCCTCGGCCAGGCTCGGCCGGGCGGCCCCATCTGCCGTGCGGCTCGCTCGGTGCAGGAGGTCTCCCGACGAGAGCAGGGGGCGTCGCTCGCGCGAAGTGGGGGGACGAGGAGAAGGAGGAGGAGGAGGAGGAGGAGGAGGAGGAGGAGGAGGAGGAGGAGGAGGAGGAGAGAGGAGGAGGAGGAGGAGGAGGAGGGGAGGAGGAGGAGGAGGGAGGAGGAGGAGGAGGAGGAGGAGGAGGGGAGGAGGAGGAGGAGGAGGAGGAGGAGGAGGAGGAGGAGGAGGAGGAGGAGGAGGAGGAGGGGGAGGAGGAGGAGGAGGAGGAGGAGGAGGTTCGCGTCGTGTTGGTGCTGCTGTGGTGTAGCTGCTGCTGCTGCTGCCGTGCTGCCGCGCTGCCGTTGGAGTTACCCTGAGGTCCTTCTCCTCCTCCTCCTCCTCCTCCTCCTCCTCCTCCTCCTCCTCCTCCTCCCCCTCCTCCCCCTTCCCCTCCTCCTCCTCCTCATCCTCCCCCTCGCCCTGCCCCAGCCCTCGTGCGCTCTGCCTCCTCCTCCTCCTTCGCCTCCTCCTGCTCCTCCTCGCCCTGCCGCGACCTGTTGGGGATGGAGGAGCTTGGAGGGAGCGAGTGGGAGGGGCAGGAGGAGGAGGAGGAGGAGGAGGAGGAGGAGGAGGAGGAGGAGGAGAAGGAGAGGAAAAGCGGAACAGGGAGGACCGTTTCCTCCATCTTCGTATCCGACCGCTGCTGTTTCTCGTCCTCCTTATCCCTCCTCCGAGCTACTGGGCTCGGCCGGGCTCATCAGGCAGTAGGTTCGTGGCCTATATGGGTGCAGACAGAGGAGGGGGCTGGATGTCGATGTTGAGGCAGAAAGACCTAACCTGAAGAAGTGATTAACAATCCGCTCCCCTTCCGGGAAAACATAACATCTATCGCACCCTGGAAGCGTTGCTTCGGCACGATGGTGGGAGGGAAGGGGGAGGACTAGTACTACGACCACTGCTACCAGTACCACGAAAGGATCGGCTCGATTCGGTTCGGTCTGGTTCTGCAGCCGGTTCGGTTTTGCTTGGCCGGTTCGGTTTGACGTCGGTTCGGTTTCGGCCGGTTCGGCTTGGGTCTGCCGCCGGTTCGGTTTGGTTCCGGTTTTCGCGCGGTTCGGTCCGACCGGTTCGGTTCGGTTCGATTGGCCGGTCCGGTTCGGTTCGGTCCGATTGGTCGGGTGCGACGTTGGGCGCCCCGTCTGCGTAAGCGACGACCCAGTAAGAAAACAAAAGGAGGAGGAGGAGGTGGGAGGAGGAGGAAGAGGAGGAGGAGGAGGAGGAGGAGGATCAGGAGGAGGAGCGAGGAGCAAGGAGCGAGGCTTTTGGTGGCGCTTTGTGGTTTCCCTGGGCCCCCTCCGTGGTCACGGCTGGATCCGCCTCGAGATGGTTGCCCCCGCTTCCCTCTCTCGAGAGGACCGCCGCCGCCGACGACGACGACGATGGGGGTCCAGCGACGAGGTCCTGGGTCCTGAGGGTCTTGGGGGTCCTCGGGTTCCTGGGTCCTGGGGGTCCTCCAGGGGGTCCGGACCAGGGGGGGGTCCCGACCAGGGGGGTGTCCGGACCGGGAGAGGTCCGGACCAGAGGGTCCGGACCGGGGGGGGGGTCCGGACTCCGACCGGACCTGGACCGGGGGGGGGTCCGGACCGGGGGGTCCACCCGGTTCGGTTCTAGACGAATTCGATTCGGTCGGTATCGGTTTTTGATTTTCCTTGTTTGGGGCCCTTTCTGTCCGGTCCAGTCACAGTTATCGGTTCTCGGTTCGGTTTGGTCCTTTCATGCAGTACTGTAGTAGTAGTAGTAGTAGTAGTAGTAGTAGTAGTAGTAGTAGTAGTAGTAGTAGTAGTAGTAGTAGTAGTAGTCTGAGTAGTAGTAGTAGTAGTAGTAGTAGTAGTAGTAGTAGTAGTAGTAGTAGTAGTAGTAGTAGTAGTAGTAGTAGTAGTAGTAGTAGTAGTAGTAGTTAGTAGTAGTAGTAGTAGTAGTAGTAGTAGTAGTAGTAGTAGTAGTAGTAGTAGTAGTAGTAGTAGTAGTCGTAGTCGTAGTAGTAGTAGTCGTCGTCGTCGTCGTCGTCGTTGTCGTCGTCGTCGTCGTCGTAGTAGTAGTAGTAGTAGTAGTAGTAGTAGTAGTAGTAGTAGTAGTAGTAGTAGTAGTAGTAGTAGTAGTAGTAGTCGTAGTAGTAGTAGTAGTAGTAGTAGTAGTAGTAGTCGTAGTAGTAGTAGTAGTAGTAGTATAGTAGTAGTAGTAGTAGTAGTAGTAGTAGTAGTAGTAGTAGTAGTAGTAGTAGTAGTAGTAGTAGTAGTAGTAGTGGTAGTAGTAGTGTAGTAGTAGTACTAGTAGTAGTCGTAGTGTAGTAGTCTAGTAGTAGTCGTAGTCGTAGTAGTAGTAGTAGTAGTAGTAGTAGTAGTAGTAGTAGTAGTAGTAGTAGTGGTAGTAGTAGTAGTAGTAGTAGTTCGTAGTCGTAGTCGTAGTAGTAGTAGTACTAGTAGTAGTAGTAGTAGTAGTAGTAGTAGTAGTAGTAGTGTAGTAGTAGTAGTAGTAGTAGTACATTAGTAGTAGTAGTAGTAGGAGAAGTCGTAGTAGTAGTAGTAGTAGTAGTAGTAGTAGTAGTAGTAGTTGTAGTTGTAGTAGTAGTAGTAGTAGTAGTAGTAGTAGTAGTAGACGACTGCTACCACTACCACGACGACTACAAGAACTACTGCGAGCACGATGTTACGACTAGTACTAGTACATTTTCTAGCAATGATATTTTTAGTACTGAGTAGTAATACTACCACTACTCGTATTATTAGTGCTAGTACTATTGTTACTACAACTACAGCAGCTACTACCACTACTACTACTACTACTACTACTACTACAACTACTACGGCTACGACTACTATTAGTATTGTGACTACCATACTGCGATTCCCATTGGTTGTATCCATATTGATACTACGACTGCCACAACTACTGCTGCCACTACTTCTGTTACTACGACTAATACTGTTATTACCACTACTAGGATTACTATTATTATTATTACCACGATTACTACTATCGCGACGACGACTACTACTACTCCCACTCCGACTACTACTACTACTACTACTACTACTACTACTACTACTACTACTACTACTACTACTACTACTACTATTACTACGACTACTACTAGTACTAGTACTAGTACTACTACTATTAATAATAATTGTGCGGCTACAATTATCGCTAGTAGTGCTACTGGTGTTAGTCGAACGACTACTCTCATACGTCATACGACTACGATTACCAATACCACGACTAGTGCTGCTATGACAGCTGGTATCGTTACTCGTACTACTACTGCTGTCACGAATTATTCGTATCGCTATAACGAGTACTAGTACGAGTATAGGTGGTTTTACTAGAACAACTATTACTGCTGTCGCGATTCGTTTTATTACTACTGTTCTCGCTTCTCGTATAATTGGTTTCAATTAATATTGCTACGCTGACTACTACGAACGACTTCTATCGCAAATCCGCGGGCGGGGGCAGCGCGATATCCTGGGATGGAGCACCCACCTGGACAGCCGATTTACTTCCATCTCTGGTTATGGAACGTAAGAAGACCGTATCATATAGGAGCAGTACGAGAACATGCAAGTGACCTCTGGAATATCTTTAAAAATGAAGCTCTCTAATTCATTATTGTTCTTACTATTGGAACCGCCACGATTGCTTGTACTAGTATCAGTTATAAAACTGCGCATACTATTTGTACCATTGCCACGACTACTACCGCGACTAGCACTACTACCATTATGATTACGACTACTACCGAGCTTATTAGAACTACTACTACTACTACTACTACTACTACTACTACTACTTCTACTACTACTACTACTACTTTTGCTACTCCTACGGCTAGTACGACTACTACGACTACTAAGCATTATGATTACTACTGCGACTCCGGCTACACCTGCCAGAACCAGTATCAGTGCTATTCGAAGCTGTGCTACGTCCACTGCTAGCACGACCCGTACTATTACACTTGTTACTACTACCACTACTACTACTACTACTACTACTACTACTACTACTACTACTACTTCGTCTCCGTTTTTTTGTGTCATTATGGGTATGAATTTTATTAGTACTACAACTGCTACTACCCCTCCTACTACTAGTATTACTACTACTACGTCTAAGTTCTACTACTCCTGCGATTGCTACTGGTAGTCGTCCCAGTGGTAGTAGTAGGGGTAGTAGTAGTCGTAGTAGTGGTAGTAGTAGTCGTCGACGTACTAATAGTAGTAGTCGTTGTTGCATTAGTAAAGGTTGTAGGCTCAATAGTCTTTGTCGTGCTAGTAATACTACGACCACGACTACGACGACTACGACTACGACTACGACTACGACTACTACTACTACTTACTACTACTACTACTACTACTACTACTACTACTACTACTACTACTATTACTAGTACTACTACTGTCACTACTACCACTCCTCCTACAACAATAACTACTACTACTGCTACTGCTACTACTACTACTGCTACTACTACTACTACGATCACTATTACTACTAATACTACTACTACTACTACTACTACTACTACTACTACTACTACTACTACTACTATTACTATTACTATTACTACTGCTACTACTACTACTACTACTACTACTACTACTGCTACTACTACTACTACTATTACTATTACTATTACTATTACTACTGCTACTACTACTACTGCTACTACTACTACCAGTTTTGCTACCAGTACTACTACTACTACTACTACTACTACTACTACTACTACTACTACTACTACTACTACTACTACTATTACTACCACTACTACTACCACCTACGACAACTACCTCCATTACGACTACTGAGTACTTCTACAGCTACGTCGCGGTCGGGAAGTTGTTGT